TGTGTGTGTGTGTGTGTGTGTGTGTGTGTGTGTGTGTGTGTGGGTGAGTGCACATGTGGAGGCATTTTTCATAAGAGGGATGATATCATACTCACCATAAGACTCCCACAGGAACAGGGCTATGCATCATTTCCCCTTTTTATATCTCTTCAGGTTTTCACATCATCTCTGTTAGTTTCACTCGCTTTCTTTATCGTTATTTTTATATTTTTGGCCAACACACCAACTATTTTGCTTTTGATCGGCTTCTCGTTGATTTATTGTTGTGGTTTAATTACAGCACAGCAGTTGGGAGTACCTTAATGTGCATTTGCAGAAGCATTAAGTCAGATATTTTCTAACAGTTCATAGAATAGAACAGAAAAAATGCTAAGAAACACTAGCTTTTCATGTAGAGAAGCATAGATTAATATCCCCAAGATGATATTCGATCTTCATTTTTCTTGCGTGATGAGATAGTTACTGAATTAACTCGCATCATTTTAGACTGAAGTGAAGCAGTCAATCCTTAATGAAAGGCTGATGTTTCGGCTTTGATGTTGGTTAGAAAAATAGAATAACTGTTTGAAATGGAGGGAATTAAAAATGCAGCGAAGAACTCATCCAACTGCAGCCCTAAATCCTCAGATTATATCTTCTCTCTTTGCTTGGTTGTGTTGTAAATTAGGACTCGTGGTTTTCTACATTCAGTTTGAAGGTTGAATGTTTGAATTGATGATACTTTAGAGAACCACCACAAATTGATTCTGCAGCTCAAGGTGCTGCGTATTAGTGATTTTTCATATTAACAACGTAGTAATAGTGCAGTGCTTCACAGAGATAGGGCTCCTGCTGTCTGCTTTTCATGCAGCAGTTGTGGATGTTTGGATGGAAGCCACCCTGACAAGCTGCTGCAGCCACTGAAAAAGTCTGCAATTGTCTGATATGTGTGGATTATATTCCCCCTCAGCCTGACTGTTTTATTCCACTTCACTGAGGTTGCCCATGATCATTAGCAATCTTTCCACTCATGTCTCACATAATGAAGTGAATGAAGTGTCATTTTCAATCAACTGCTATGTTGATCCAACTTAATTAGTACTTTAGAGGATACAAAACAAGATTAGGTAACTCACGGTACTCGATTGCCAGAGCTGTTTGTTTTGGCTTTGAATTAACCTGCAGTTCTGCTGCTGCACATACTTTATTTTTGCTTTAGCATTCTTCTTGGAATTCTCCAGTGCACGAGATCTGTGGCAGTATCCCTTCAAACAAATATGCAAAGTGCATCAAAAGTAAGAAAAAATGTAACACATTTACAAGACATTGTGCAATCAACTACAATTAATGAAATAACAAATCAACTGTCTCAAAACTTTTTTCACAATCAAGCTACTCARTGTCGAACTCTGAGATGTTGCAGAATTTTAACACTAAGCTTATGAAGAGTACAACTATTTTTCTGTGCCACTGAATAACAAAAGGTAGGTTGAGTTAAAATAATTCATTTAAATTTCCAACAAATGGTCAGTGTCAATAAAAAAGAAACGGTGTAGTCATTTTATACAGGATAAATTTCATTGCAGCTCTTGGTCTAGAAAAGTTTATTTTCCATAAAATTATATGGTTGCTCTTTTTTTTTTTACCATAATTCTGTCTCTATATTAGCATATGTAGAACAAAAATTACTTTTTAAAGGTGTCTTTGCGGACTTGGGTGCCTCCATTTTGAGACTAAAAAAATGAGGTGGGTTACTCAATGAAATAAGATGTTGCTCATTTTTCTCAACGTGTACAATAGCAGCGCACAAAGGAAAATGTTTTTATTGTTTTAAGATTTGCCCTGATAT